GTAAAAAAGGTCCTTCAATACAAAAGGAAACAATACATTAAAAAAAGCAAAATTGAAAATTTACATTATAACCCCATGCACTTCAAAACTTGTTTTCAATATGAACATTTCACAATTTAAAAAAAAATTTTATGGTGCTGCTTCTAAGAATTAAAAAAAATGTTCTCACAAAAATTTAAAAACTATTATAATTTACATTTTATTTGTTTATTTCGTTAATGCAGTTAATATTATTTGAAACTAACCTTAAAATTTATATTATGTCACCATAGCCATTAGAACACAAAGAATTAATTTTTAAAAATTTCTAAAAAAAACCTTCTGCATTACAAAAATTATTTCCATTATAAACATTCAACAATTTCAAAATAATTTTATGATACTGAGAATTAAAATTGTTTTTCCAAATTTAAAAAATGATTATAATTTATTTCTCTAATTCAGTTTGTATTATTCGAAATTAACCTTAAAATTTATATGATATCGATTATAGCCATTAGAACACAAAAAATTAATTTTAAATATCCCTAAAAAAGCCCTCTGCACTTCAAAAATTATTTCCAATATAAACATTCAATAATTTCAAAATAATTTTATAGTACTGCTCCTGAGAATTAAAATTGTCCTCCCAAAAATTTAAAAAACGATTATAATGTATATTTTATTTATTTATTTCTCTAATACAGTTACTATTATTAGACTTAAAATTTATATTACGTCGTCATATCCAATAGAATCCAAAAAATTTCTAAAAAAAAGTTTAATGGTGGCCAGACTGTAAACAACGCCATAAAAATAACGTAGCCAATAAACGTGGCCCGTACCCTCTCCCTCGTGGCGATCTATCAGCTACCCTATTGTGTTTTCCCCATTGGTTGGTAGTCACCGTGAAGAAAATCGTTCGTAAGGGGCGTGTTCGTAAAGTCGTCGAGCTCCTCCGGACCGGAATTATGAGCCACGGTTTGACACCGATCGCCTGGCAATGGCGCGCATTAAATTCTCTCGGTGAAGGACAGAAATAAAGTTACGCGCAGTCAGGGTCGTCGTGCTCCTCTCGCCTACCCGATAGCGCCGAGGATGACTCACGTGCCGCGACATCGAAGGCTTGGTTTTCGTCGTATTCAAAATAAAACGATCCACCCGCGCAATTCGTTACTTTCACCTACGGTGCTCCACGGAGTTTCGTTCTTCGATTCCTTTGCAAGTCCACGGTTAATCGTTCGGCCCTTATCGGCGTTACGAAACCGAGAAACAACGTAATAACGAGTTGAGGTTATGGCTGGAGGCGAATGAAAGTGGTATTGAATACTTGGGTCTGGATTTTTTTGAGAAATAACATCGCAACTTTGATTTTTATTTTGAAGGGGAAATATTATTATAGATTTGGAAGGGTTGTATTATTATAGATTTTTAATAATTGATTTTTATTTTTTTTTTATTTTTCTTCAGTATTTACTTGTTGAAATAATAATAATAAATTTCTATTTTTGGAGTGGATGATTTTATACGTTTTTGATTTTGATTTTGAAGTGGATATTTTATTATAGATTTCGAAGGGTTTGTTTTTGTTATAGAGTTTCAATAATTAATTTTTCTTTATTTTTATTTTTTTTCAGAATTTAGTTGAAAGAATATGTAATAATAAATTTCTATTTTTAGAGTCGATGATTTTGAAGGGGAAATTTTATTATAGATTTCAAAGGGTTGTTTTGTTACAGAGTCTCAATAATTGATTTTATTTTTATTTTTTTCCAGAATTTAGTTGCTGAAATACTAATAAAAATTTCTATTTTTAGAGTCGATGATTTTATACGTTTTTGATTTTGATTTTGAAGGGGAAATTTTATTATAGATTTCGAAGGGTTGTTTTTGTCATAGAGTTTCAATAGTTGGTTTTATTTTTATTTTTTTTCCAGAATTTCGTTGTTGAAATAATAATAATAAATTTCTATTTTTAGAGTGGATGATTTTGATTTTGAAGGGGAAATTTTATTATAGATTTCGAAGGGTTGTTTTTGTTATAAAGTTACAATAATTGACTTTTATTTTTTCTTTTTTCAAAATTTAGTTGCTGAAATAATAATAATAAATTTCTATTTTTAGAGTCGATGATTTTAGTTATTTTTGATTTTGATTTTGAATGGGAAATTTTATTGTAGATTTGGGAGGGTTGTTTTGTTATAGATTTTTAATAATTGATTTTTATTTTATTTTTAATTTGTCTTCAGAATTTAGTTGTTAAAATAATAATAATAAATTTCTATTTTTGGAGTGGATGATTTTACACTTGTGTGGTGTGATTAATTATTGCAAGCAGTTTGAAGAATCTCGCGTTGGCCAAACTAAACATTTCTTAGAATTTAGAGTCGGAGAAGATTTATATTAGTCAAAAGAGACCTCAGACTTCACAAAGATTGACGAATACTATTACTAAAATAGACACACATTTATAACTTGTAAAATAACATATAATAAGTTACAGATATATTATTTATTTAATAACAGATTTTTGATCGTATAAATAAATTAATCTTTCAAGCTTTTGTATAAATAATTTAATAAGCAGTGTAAATTTTTACTAAATTTTACTAAATTATTACAGTGTAAATTTTTATTAAAATTTATTAATTTAGTACAGTGTAAATTTTTATTCAAATTGACTAAATCATTACAGTGTAAATTTTTATTAAAATTTACTAAATTACTGGAGTGTAAATTTTTATTAAAATTTGCTAAATTATTACAGTGTACATTTTTACTAAATTTTACTAAATTACTATAGTGTAAATTTTTACTATAATTTACTAAATTACTATAGTGTAAATTTTTATTCAAATTGACTAAATTATTACAGTGTAAACTTTTATTAAAATTTACTAAAATACTACAGTGTAAATATTTACTAAAATTTACTAAATTATTACAGTGTAAATTTTTATTAAAATTTACTAAATGACTACAGTATAAATTTTTATTAAAATTTACTAAATTACTACAGTGTAAATTTTTACTAAAATTGTTACTAAAATTTGTACTGAAATTTACATTGTTAGATTAGTTTCAGAAATTTACAATTTTTTTTTACAATTTTTATATCGAGTTTTTTGCGTGGTCCAAAATGGCCGCCACAGCATATATTATAACAGCACCGTATATACAGTTTTAATAACAGTGACAAAATCTATATTCGCATCAAACTACCATTAACGTCATTAACGATTTTCGACATTTTCCATCGTCAGCAACAATGCACGTTAAGTTCAATTTTGAATTTAATTTACGGGTTTCCATTATATTCTTCTGTGCCCGTAAATCGTCGCCATTGTTACATGCATTCTCTTTTTAAACGCTAGTTGAAATTAATCGATCCGAAGGATACATAAATTTAGGGGGAGATGCAATAACGTGTTAACGTTTAAATTTTGTTTATATATACGACTAATAAATTGAATTTTCTGTTTTATCGGGGAATAAATCGCGTGACGAAGTGTCGATAAATATTAAAAATGGCACGTAAATTATTATACCTCGAAAACTGTTTGCAAACGTTTCAAAAAATATTTGCAAAACGGGTTAAATTTCGTATCTTATCGTAAATTATCATTTGTATTCTATCAAAATTAAGTCATTCTTCTGATTGTGTATATTCGGTATATATTGTTATTTAAAAATGTTAAATAGATTTCTTTAAATTCAAAAAATGTATCTTTTTTTATTTTTGTTATAAATTTTTAGGTTAACAACCATAAGTAACTATTTAAAAATTTGAAAATTACAGAATTTAACTAATATTCAATATTTCTATCTCCTTAATTTCGATGGTACACATAAATACATCATAAACACAATAAACACCTCAATCGTCGTCCGCCATTTTGATATTTTCCATAGGATTGGTAAGCCCTGCTTTAAACAAATTTTTAAACGATTATAGTTTATATTTTATTCTCTTATACAATTATATATCGTCTTAATTTCGATGGTACAAATAAACACCTCAATTGTCGTCCGCCATCTTGATATTTTCCATAGGGTTGGTAAGCCCTCTGCAACTGGTATTTACCAATTTAATACACAGTCAAATAAAGTAGGAGGTGTTTTGATATTATTTATATCAATTTTAATGCCATATTTAATACCAATCATTAATAATTATAAAATCAAATCAAGAAAATTTGATTATATTAATGATTAGGAAGACAATTGATTAAATATCCTTATTTCTTCGAGAATCTATCCTCTTAATTTCTATGGTACAAATAACTACATCAAAAACACAATAAACACCTCAATCATCGTCCGCCATCTTGATATTTTCCATAGGGCTGGTAAGCCCTCTTGCTACCGGTATTTACCAATCTAATACACAGTCAAATAAACCCGGTGTTTTAATATTATTTATATCAATTTTAATGCTATATTCAATACCAATCATTAATAATTATAAAATCAAATCAAGAAAATTTGATTATATTAATGATTAGGAAGACAATTGATTAAATATCGTTATTTCTTCGAGAATCTATCCTCTTAATTTCTATGGTACAAATAGCTACATCATAAATACAAAAAATACTATCGTCCGCCATCTTGATATTCTCTGTAGGGGTTGGCAAGGCCTCCGCTACCGGTATTTACCATTCCAATACCGCCATTCAGCGTTTCGGGTGGGAGACCCCGTCGCAGCAGAGGCGGTGTTACGTCACCGCCAGCGCCTCCCAGGAAAAGAAACGGAATTTCATAGGCGGTAAAGTCGATGGTTCGGCATAAATTACACCGCGGTTAGATCGAGTGACCAGGCTCGCCACGGTTCCGCGGGGTCAAGCACGAACGCCGGCGTACGGTCAAACGGAGACCCGCAGGTAAGTACGTCGGTGGGCTTCTCAGCGGAGTGCGTGGTACACACGCATCGTGGGCCAACCGTCGCCTCCGCGCGGGGGAAACCAGTCACTCGTATAAAACCGGCGAGCGAGTCACGGCTCGAGTCAGTTTCGCCTCGCGCCTCGCGTGAGTCTCGTTCCGGTCCGTCGCGGCGCTAGCGGTTTCTCTCGTTCGCGCGAGTGTGTCAACGCGTTCGCCCAAAGAAAGACCCCACCGTTCTCTCTCAGTGAATCGCGACGATCTCCACGGATGCAGTGCCTCGTCGAGTTGTTGTGACGTTTCATGGCGAGCGTCGCCGCGCCAGGATCGCGTGGTGTTCCGTCGATCGTCGATCAGGAGCATGTAAGTACCAGAGGTATATTGCCCGGTGCCTGTGCCAGATCCGTGGATCCGTAGATCGAAGACGAGAAATATCGCTGGGTCAGGTGGGGAAGCAAAGGATGCCACGTAAACTGGCATAAAATAGAATAGTCTTTGGGGAGTTGGTAGATCTTGGGAAGTGAATCTTTCCGTGAAGCTTGGACGTAGAGATCAAACCCTTTTGGTAGCTGTTAGGTGAATATTAGTAATTGATCTGTCGATGATGTGCGGGAAACGCCTATGGGCGTTTGGTGCGCGTGTATAAGGATACTAAATAGAGGCTTCCGCACACGGTGTGCGTCTCAAAATTGTTATCGATGGATACGTAGAATCTGATGCGAGGTTTCTGGGGGGAAATCGTGAAATTTTAACTTTTGTTGGTTTTGGTCTTTTTTGTGTAAACAAGGGAAATCGTCGACCGGGGTTTCCAGAGTCGCGTAATTTTAATTCCACCGTCGCGTATCGTTGGTCTGGAACGGAACTGGAATTTCAGGATTGACCTTGGGGACCGCTCCGCTTATCGCCCCGGCCGCGGTTGACGTTTATTTTTCACGAGGCGTTAACTACGGAGCGGTGGCGCTCGGCTCGCGCCGGCGCTTTTTCGTGCCCCGCGTATCTTCAGGAATTCCGCGGCGGCCGTGAAAGACTATCAAAGCCACAGGTGGCGGTCAGAATTGACTAATGGGAGAGGGAAGTCAACCGACCATGTGTTTTCGTTCGCGAGGGGGCGCATGGGGTCGTGTCGTTTGCGCTACGGCGAAGGCCATTGACGTTCGGTAATTTGTATCGCTTAACGAGCGAATCGAAACGTTTCCTGAGCGTCGCCCCGCGCCAGCACACCTGTTTAGCCACGGTCAATAAAGCACGAACGAAAAGAACAAACACCGACGTTTCCAAGTTTCGCCAACATACGGAATTATGTACACAGGTATTAATAGAAAGGAAATAACGAAATATTCTTTCACGATCTTTCATTTAATAATGGATTTCGTAAGAATCGAATCCAGTTTTTATTTCTTGTAATTATTTTTGAGAATATTGTTTTCTGTTTTTTATTTAGCAGAGTTAATTTTAAAGGAGATTATTGGGTTTCGAATGTAACCTTAAAAATGTCCACGTTTCGTGAATATATAAAGAGGTACTGTTGGCGCATGCGCAATAGTTGATAGCTGCACGAAGGGTGAAAGAAGCAACGAAAGATTGTTGCATATTCTTTTTTTAAAAGTAGATTTCATTAGTATAAAGAATCGAATCCATTTTTTATTTCCTGTAATTATTTTTGAGAATATTTCTGTGTTTTATTTAGTAGAGTTAATTTTAAAGGAGATTATTGGGTTTCGAATGTAACCTTAAAAATGTCCACGTTTCGTGAATATTTAAAGAGCTTCTGTTGGCGCATGCGCAGATAGGTGCACGAAGGGTGAAAGAAGCAACGAAAGATTGTTCCATATTATTTATTTTAAAAGAAGATTTTGCTAAGCCAAAATGATGGAATCTTTCGTTTCCTTCTTGTAATTATTTTTGAGAATATTGTTTTCTGTGATTTATTTAGCAGAGATAATTTTAAAGTAAATTACTGGGTTTCGAATGTAACCTTAAAAATTTCGTCCATGTTTCGTGAATATATAAAGAGGTACTGTTGGCGCATGCGCAGTAGTTGATAGGTGCACGAAGGGTGAAAGAAGCAACGAAAGATTGTTCCACATTGTTTATTGTAAAAAAAGGTTTTATAAGGCAAAAGGATCGAAATCACTTTGGTTTTTTTCTCACAATTATTTTTGTGAATATCTTTTTCTGTATTATAAATCGTAGAGTTAATTTCAAAGTCGAATGTAGTGTGAAATTGAATGCAAATGTCGAATATAACCTCAAACATGATGATCACGTTTCGTGAATATATAAAGAGGTGCAAGATTGTTGGCGCATGCGCAGTAGTTGATAGGTGCACTAAGGGTGAAAGAGGCAACCAAATATTCTTCCATACTAATTATTTAAAAAGGATTTCGTAAACCAAAAGAATCGAATGCACTTTTGTTTCTCTTCTCACAATTATTTTTCGAAATATCTTCCATATTTTACTTAGTAGAGTTAATTTTAAAGTCTAATGCAGGGCAAAGTAGAACGTTGGTGTCGAACCTAACCTCAAAGCTATCGTTACAAAATTGTTGATGCAAGCAAAGATTGATAGGAGCATGATAGGTGAAAGACACAACGACAGATTGTTTTTCATTTTCTATTTCAAAAAAATTGAATCTATTTTCATTTTATTTTCACAATTATTTTTGAGAATATCATTTTCTATATTCTATTTCGTAGAGTAAATTTTAAAGTCGAATATAGTACAAAGTCGAACTGGTCACTGATGTCGAACATAACCTCAAAAAAATCATTAGAAAATTGTTGGCGCATGCAGAATTCTATGGGAGCTCGAAAGAATGAAAAAACCACAAAAGATTGTTAATTTTCTATTTCAAAAAAATTGAATCTATTTTCATTTTATTTTCACAATTATTTTTGAGAATATCATTTTCTATATTTTATTCATCATAGAGTAAATTTTTAAGTCGAACTGGTCACTGATGTCGAACATAACCTCAAAAGTATCATTACAAAATTGTTGACGCATGCGTAGAAACTGATAGCAACACGAACAACAAAAGATTGTTAATTTTTGTATTTAAAAAAAAATTGACTTCAATTTTCCTTCCATAATTATTTTTCAAGCATATCTTTTACATTTTATTTGCCAGAGCTAATTTTAAAGTCTAATGTAGTGGGAAGTTGAACATAACCTCAAAAATATCGTTACAAAATTATTGACGCATGCGTAAGAGTTGCTAGGAGCACAAAGAATGAAAAAAAACAACAAAAGATTGTTAATTTTTTATTCAAAAAAAGATCGAATCCACTTTCATTTTATTTTCATAATTATTTTTGAGAATATCATTTTCTATATTTTATTCATCATAGAGTAAATTTTTAAGTCGAACTGGTCACTGATGTCGAACATAACCTCAAAAAGTATCATTACAAAATTATTGACGCATGCATAGAAATAGATAGCAGCACAAACAACTAAAAATTAATTTTTGTATTTAAAAAAAAATTGACTTTAGTTTTCCTTCCATAATTATTTTTCAAGAATATCTTCTAAATTTTATTTGCCAGAGCTAATTTTGAAGTCTAATGTAGTGGGAAGTCGAACCCCGATTCCGAACCTAACCTCAAAGGTGCCGTCCGCGTTTCGGTGGTTCTTGGAAGCCCCCGGGGAACGTTACGGTTCGGGAACTTCGGAAGACGCGTCTGGCGAAATTTTCCTGAGCGTTTCGTTCGCCGTTTATTGTCGCGACGATTTGGCAGTGGTATGCAAATGGAGCATCGCCGTCGACGAGAGATAGCGGCGCACTTTAGCCGAGCGAGCCGACAGTCGACAGCGAATTATTTGGCGGTTCCGAGAACTCTAGGCAATAATTAGAACGCGTTAGCGTAATTTTCATGGAGCTTGCGCGACGTAAACGTCGGATCCTCTTGTAAAGTGGCGCGTGACAATTATCCGGAGTCACTGCAACAGTGGAATCTGCATCGTTAAGCTATTCTCCCACTTGGGAAACTTTTAAAAAAAAAAAACGATTAAGCGACGATCGTATTTGTGCAAATTTATGGAATGTTTACATTGTTATTTGTAGTGGGTCCGTTGTTACAATTTTTAGATTGTTTATAAAGTCGAGTGGGAGAAGGGCTTAAGGTATATTTCTAGTCTGAGAGACGTGATTGAATTAATTAGTAGAGGAGAATTGTCTGCGTTGTTTGAAATGGTTATTTTGGATATTTTGGAGTTTTAGTAATTTTTGTGATTTGAATGGCTCGTGTGGGAGAAGGGCTTAATTCACTAAGAGAAATTATGAGGTGACAATTACATCTGTTCGAGTTTAAGGCGTCTTTATATTGTTATTTGTACTGTGGGTGTCGAAACAATTTTTCTATCGTCCATAAGGTCAAGTGGGAGAAGGGCCTAATCTATTAAAAGAAACTATGAGGCGACAATCATCTATATTCAAATTAAATGAGTCTTTATATTGTTATTTGTACTGTGGTCGTCGAAACAATTTTTCTGTCGTCCATAAAGTCAAGTGAAAGAAGGGCCTAATCCATCAAAAGAAATCATCAGATGATAGTCTTTACTATTCAAGTTTACAGAATCTTTACACTGTTATTTATACTTTATTCACCGATAGAATTTTTCTACCGCCCAGTAAGTCAAGTGAGAGAAGGACTTAAGGTTTATTTTTCTAGTCTGAGCAACGTAATCGAAACAATTAGTAGTCGCAAATGATCTATGTTGTTCGAAATGTCTATTCTTGAGACTTATTTTTGGGCTCACATAGCTCATGCGGGAGAAGGGCTTAATCTATTAAAAATAATCTTCAGGTGAAAATCATCTGTATTCAAGTTTCTAGAATCCTTACAATGTTATTTATACTTTGTCCATCGATACAATTTATCAATCGTCCACTAAGTGGGAGAAAGGCTTAATCCATGAAAAGAAATCATGAGGTGAAAATCATCTCTATGCAAGTTTATAGAATCCTTATATTCTTATTTATACTTTGTACATCGATACAATTTATTAATCGTCCACTTAGTCAAGTGGAAGAAGGGCTTAATTCATTAAAAAAACAAATCTTCATGTGAAAATCATCTCTATTCAAATTTATAGAGTCTTTACAATGTTATTTATATTTTGTCCATCGATAGAATTTATCAATCATCCAATAAGTCAAGTGGGAAAAGGGCTTAAGGTCTTTTTTCTATTCTGAGCGACGTAATCGCAAAAATTGCTGGTCGAGAATCGTGTGTGTCGTTCGAAACGATTATTTTGAAGCCTTTGCTTATTTTCTTGTTGGCGTGGGAGAAGGTCTTAATGGTGTTCGAGTCGGCGACAGATTTAAGCGCGAAACCAGGCGGAGACACGCGTCGAGAGG